AAAACATTTAGGTTAAAAACAATTTATATTTATTCTTTATTTTATAATTTCTAAAATATGACTCCACTTGAAAAACCTTGAGGGAAAAAGATCCTATAAAATAAGTTGAAGCAATTTATTCAATTTGACAATAGCAAAAGCTATACCTAAAACAATAACACAAAATGATATGAAAACTAAATATTCTTTTTCAGATGTCACAGGAGCAAAAGCACAACTTTTATAGTAAATTTAATCCTCTCTCATAATCATGAGCATAGTTGTTAAGATAAATAAAATCTACATTTAATCAAGTTAACTTTTTAACTTTTACGTGAGTCACGTAACAGTAGAAAGAAAAGAGACAAAATGTCAAGCCTATGCTATTTCTCCAATCCATGAAAAGAATAAACCCCTCCAAAGTGTAGACTGTACATATCTTACACCATGTCATATATTTGTTGCAGAATACATACAAATATCAGCTCCCAGAGCCAAAGGCCTTTAAAGAAAATGTTTTTTATTAAAGAGAATCATTTGAAAAATGTTTGATTACATGCCTATTTGGAACTGTAAATCCCATCTATTCTCATCGAATTAATTGGTAAAAATATGCACAAATTAAAATTTCCAGGATCTGTGAATTATCTTTCCCTTGCCTCTCTCCCAAATAAAAATATGAAGTATTGGACTCAGTATTCAATCTGAAAGGCATAACTTGTATGAAATAGGCAGGTAGACCTAGGTCCACAGGTCTCTGGATCTATTTCTTTCTTTCTTTTTTTTTTATAATTAATTTATTTATTTATTTTGTCTATTTCTTTATAGCAGTTCCAGACTGGTGCTTAAATTTATTATCTACAGGAGATACACTGGTACTTTAGACACAATAAATTCAATAAATGGTTGACATAAACATTCAGCAATTTTATGTCAAGTAAGTATAAACTAATCTACTTAGAATTATAATCATTCAAACCTTATGATGGTGTACTATGATTATTCACACTTCATTTGTCCATGATCTTGACTCCTAACTACTTTTACTATACAGTCAGGCCTCCCTATCCATGAATTATACATTCATGGATACAACCAACTGTGATTGAAAACATTTGGGAAAAAAAGAATAGTTGTGTCTGTATTAAACATAAAGACACTTTTTTCTTTGTCATTATTCCTAAACAATACAGTATAACAGCTATTTACTTAGCATTACATTATATTAAATTATTATAAGAAATCTAGAGATGATTTAAAGTTTACAAGAGGTGTTAGGTAGGTTATACAAATACCACATATTTTCTATCAAATACCTTGAACATCTGTAGATTTTGGTAACCTTGGGGCTTCCTGGCACCAATTATCCCATGGATACCAAGAGACAACTTACTAGTTTTGCAATGTGTAAAGTCACTTATAAAGAATTTGTTGGGCCGGTGCGTGGCTCATGCCTGTAATCCTAGCACTCTGGGAGGCTGAGGCAGGCGGATTGCTCCAGGTTAGGAGTTCGAAACCAGCCTGAGCAAGAGCGAGATCCCCATCCTACTATAAATAGAAAGAATTAATTGGCCAACTAATATACTATAGTAAAAATTAGCCGGTATGGTGGCGATGCCTGTAATCCCAGCTACTCAGGAGGCGAGGCAGGAGGATTGCTTGAGCCCAGGAGTTTGAGGTTGCTGTGAACTAGGCTGACGCCATGGCACCACGGCACTCACTCTAGCTTGGGCAACAAAGCAAGACCTCTGTCTCAAAAAAAAAAAAGAAAAAAAAGAAATGTGTTTGGATTGCATTCTCCCACCTAATTTTCCTACAAATTAATCCTTTTTTGCTTTGCTTTTCTTTCTTTCTTTTTATTATTATTTGACACAATATTCATACATATTTATGGAATAAAATGTGATGTTTCAATACATGTATACATTGTACAATGATTAAATCAGGGTAATTAGCATATCCATCACCTCAAACATTTATCATTTCTTTGTGGGGGCAGCATTTAAAATCCTCTCTTTTACCTCTATGAGATATATAATACATTGTTGCTAAATAGTTATCCTTCTGTGAAATAGAGCACCCAAAATTACTCCTCCTCACTCCTCCTCTCTAATTATAACTTTGACAACCCTCCCATCACTACCCCTTACCCCTTCCCCTCCCAGTCTCTGAGAATCATTGCTTTAGTCACTACTTCTATGAGATCAACTTTTTTTAGATTTCACATAAGAATAAGAGGTATCGGCCTTTCTGTGCCTGGCTTATTTCGCTTAACATAGTATCTTCGGGGTTTATCCTTCAGTCTTAAAATGTTTTTGTTCACAGTGAAAGTAAAAACTTATAATTGACTTACTAATGTATTATCAACAACTTTACATTTCTATGTTCTTCAACATAAAAGTATATGTTTGTGTTTTATCCTCACTAGAGTTGTTTTGTCTTTGGAAGATAATAGTGTAGGTGGCGATGGAACCTTTCAATTAGGGTGTATCAAAACAGGTTGTTTTAAGTAAGTTATTGCCCAAAGCACTCTCTGCATATGTGATTTCTCATCTTTTGCTAGAGTGATGGCATCAAAGCAGATGAGGTCTAAGATCTCTTCTAGGGTTAATGTCTGTAAACTCTATGGCCAAAAGAGAAGGAAAAATAAAACCCAATCACTAACATCTGTTAATCTGATTTTATGTTCAAAGAACCATATTTTACATAAACCAGTAAAGCACTGTACAAAATATTTTACCTAACTAAATAAAATCAGTACCTTAGGCTCTCATAGTATAGATGTGGAAAAGGGACAAAGAAAAATGAGATAGATCCCTAATATGAAAAACTAATAGAGCTAGGACTCACATCCAGTCTGCCAGACTCGAGACACTCTCTGAAACTTCAGGTTGCTGTATCCATTTTGCCATTTGTGGGACTTACAGCAGACACAGAAAACAAAATGCAAGGAAGAAATAAAATATATTCAGTTTTCCAGATGGTAAGACAATGAGACGACCTTTTTAGGAGGAGATTTGCTTTGTGGGACCAATATATATGGCTGTCTAGGGACGATAGAATTCTGATTAATTCAATTGGAATGAACTCAGGTCCAAATAAACCAAATTCTAATCCTTGGCATGAGGAACATGATATGGGCCTCTAAAAGGCAGAAAAAGTGAACCTATTTTAGTGAAGGTAATAGGAGGAAGAGGGCCAGGCCTGATTTTTTTAGTCGGGGTGGGGCCAGACTAAAAAAATTCATGCAATCTTTTGGGGAATACACAGGAGTCACTGTGACCAGACTAAAGTCATCCTAAACTGTGTCAACTTGCCTAATATAAATGGCATATGGGCTAAGGAGTTGGGATAAAGAATCCTACCCTCAAATTTACCTGGGAAAAACAAATGATGTCGGGATTTTCACTTGGAAACAGATTGCTGGACCTGATACAACCTGTAGCCAAATATAGCATGAGCCGAAGGCAGATGGCCCATGAAGCTTTCTGAATTCATTGTAGCCAGGCACTGTGTTTTAGGAAAGGAAAATAAAACATGATAGCACCTTCAAATAAAACAGAAGAGGGTAAAGAATAGGTTTATGTAAACTGCCAAAGAAGTCACTCTACCACATGGAGGCAGCAGCCTGGGTCAGCTTTAGGGTCCCAAATCAAAGGGGATAAATATAAACAATAGAACCTATTAATACTTGCCTGATTGAAGAGGTGGAGACAATGAGCTGGGTTTCAGGAACTCTACGGAATAAAGATGAACTACAGGAAGTGTACTAAATATGACAAGATACAAGCAAGAAGAAAAGAACAGGGAGAAGGTAACTCCTAACAAGGAAGGGAAACAGATTAGGTACTCAGAGGAAAGGGAAGAAAAAACAGAGGGAAAAGGCAGATAACAGGTCAATTAGAGAGAGAGCCCAAGATGATCTGCCAAGAAAAGAAAAACAGAAAAGAGAAGAACCTAGGTTAAAAACAGAGAAAAAAGGAAAGGAATGAAGGATGTAGGGGAGGGTTGGTCTTAAGAGAAAACAAACGCAAGGAGGTAGGCAGGAAAGGAGACAGTTTAAAGGGAGATGCTGAATGTTTGTGCTCCCCCAAATTCAGACACTGAAATCTAATCCCCAGTCTGATGTTTTTACGAGTTGAAGGCTTTGTGACATGATTAGGTCATATGGGTTACACCCCTCAGAAATGGGATTAATACCATTATAAATGAAACCCAGAAACCTGCCTTGTTTCTTCCACCATGTGAGAACACAGCAAGAAAGCGTCATCCAAAACCAGAAAACAGGCCCTCGGCAGACACTAAACCTGCTGTTGCCTTGATCTGGGACTTCCCAGCTTCCAAAACTGTAAGAGATAAATGTCTGTTTATAAGCTACCCAGTTTATGGTATTTTTGTTATAGGAGCCCAAAACGACTAATAAAAGAGCAATATGTTTATGTAAATGTAAATATAGGTATAATGTAAAACAAATGAAGTAGCAATGCATAATACAAATAAGTTTAAGATACAGAGGTCTAGGTATAGTCTATCAGGTGCTAGAAAGGGAAGAAAAACTAGAAAGAAAGAAAAGAACTGGAGAAATATGTGCTTGACATATAGTGAGATACCATTGAATATAGCCTTTCTTTTATAATATATATAAAAACACATGAGATGTGACTAATAATACTATGCCTGATTTGTAACCAAGACATAAGCAGTGAAGTCCCTAGTATGCATAAAGGAATGGCAGATACAATCACATGAGGCCATGTCTGCAGAGTTCACACATCCTAAGAGAACCAGAAAGTTTTCATTGACACTACATTTAAAAACCACAAAGAACCACATAAGACATTAACATAATTTTGAAAGGATATTAACTAATATTAGAAAAGGTCCAAATGTAATTTTTTGTTTGATAAACAATTATGATTAAATTTCATGAGTTAGATCATGATGTTGATGTAAGTCCTTCCTTTTCTATTTATAGTTATGTTTGGTCTACCAATTCTGCCAAAAATGTTTTTTTCATTTACCTGGAAATATGCTGACATAAAAGTGTTATCCACAACCAAAATAATGTCTCCATGCTTATGGACAATACGTGCACAGGCTTCAATGTCAATCATCTTCAGGCTGGGGTTTGTGAGGGTTTCAACCCAAACAAGCTAAAATCATTCAGTAAATAATAATAGTTTATGAAAATATACTTCAACATACATCTCATATATTGCAACAATCTGGAAGGCTACTTTATATAATGGAAATGCAGAGATGATGAAGTTGAAAAGTTTAAATCTAATCCTTACTTCTCCTACAAATTTCTGAGAGGTCATAGCTAAGTAACTTTCCTCTTCATCTATATAATGGTGTTGGTAATACTTACAGGGTTGTTTTAAGTATCAAATGAGATTATGTGTGCATAAGCAAAAAAGTGCTAAAGTTAACTATTCTAATTATTTTCCAAAAACATACATAGCACAATGTCTAGAAATTTTGTTCTCAAAGATGAATAACATAGGTTGTGTAAGAATACATCCTATAATTTTCATTAAAAAGAATTCGCCCTATTAGGCCAAAAAATATCTTTAATATGAACTTAAGTAATGCCAGGTGCACTAGAAAGTATAAAATAAGTACCTCCGGCTTTTAGAAGAGCATCGGCTTTAGACTGAAGGAGAAAAGTGACAGGAAACCTGATTATAGCTCACTTTAAAAAGAGACAATAGAATATTTATCCATATATCTCAAAGTCTAACACAACTCAGGCATGAGTAGATGGTAGATGCTTGACAGTTATTGAAACGACTAAGGAAGAGAGTTTTATTTATTGAACAAGATGCCACTGTATTGAATTACATTATATACAGATTTCTTTTTCAAAGGACTAATGACTTTTTTTATTACCTATTATTTAAATGGGCAAGAGATCTGATTTACTACTCCTTCTATTTGAGAGTTTTCCTATGTTTCAAAAAGGTAAGGTGGTTAAAATAATTCATATTCTACAAAAATCTTGATATATTTAAAGGATTTATAAAAACTATTCCTGGTAAGCATTATTATTCCTAGTAATAATAAAAAAATTAAAATTAAAAATAAGTATATAAATACACAGTAGATTTTACATAGGCTTAAAAATTCTACTACAAATGATCAGCCTGATATTTTGGCAGACAAAATACCAAGCCAGTAAAGAGGCACTATATTAAGTTCTGTTCACAAGACTGAATATTCTTACAATTTGTTTTCATCCCTGAGAAAGACTAGACCAGCTATTTTAATGTGTCCCTTCTCTCAAGCAAGATAAAAAAAAGTTCTTTTGAAAACAATCCTTCATCACCAAAAGCTTTGTTAATCTGCAAAGTAACTATTTGTACATGAAAACATGTTCATTCTTTTAGCATTCACTGTAACATAATCTTGGGTACAATTCTAACCTTTTAATCTCTAGTCATAATGTGGAATAGGTTGACTTATAAAAGACACTGGTTCTTTATAATTTAAATGAAGTCACAAGAAAGAATATCACATACGCCATTCACTCAGGAGCAAACTACCTTCCTGAAGCATATAAGCGTCCCAGGATGGAGGCAAAATATTGCTTGTGTCCCATTCTCTACTTCCAACTATCATTAATATTTGCAGCAGTATCTCTTATAGCAGGAGAAAAAAACACCATACTTAGAGTTTTGGGATTTGGCAGTCTCCTTTTCTATAATTCAACCTCTATGATGACTTCTTTTATCAAAACCAGGCTTGATAATGCAGTTGAGAATTGTGTACTGTTGCATAGAGATTTTTTAGCAATTATCATGTATGTTGGTATAGTACTAAGCATTTCATATGCATTATCTCATTTAATTCTCACAATCACCTTTCTAAAAAGCAGGTACAATTATCCCCATTTTGTAAATGAAGAAATTAAGACTTTGGTTAAATAATTTGTCTGAGATAATACACCAATTATAATACAGAATTAGAATTTGAGTTCCACTCCAGAATTTATGTACCTAAACACTATGCTATAATACCTGGGAGATACCAGGTTTATCTTAATCTTTTGATATTTCCAGTGACTTCCAATACAATTTATTCTTTGATACAATTTAAATTATATCCTCTGGTAAACAGAAATAATGAAAAAAAAAAATCACAAGAAAAACAGGCAAAACCGAAAGCTAGTAGTGTTATCTTGGTTTCTGGTGTAATTGCTGCCTCTAGCAATTTCGTTTTGGAACAATCAACAAAAGAAATCTTTAATCCAAATTTAGATGCCACCTTCCTGAAGTACTCATTGGTACCTGAGGCAGAAGAGAATCAGATAAAATGGAAAGAACATTGTATTAAGAAATGTTTGTTCCTTACAGGTATAAACAAGTTAGATATATAAGGAACTCTCTCAGTCACCGATAAAATACAACTAAAAGCAATATAATAAAGAATAATAAGGCTTGGACATTCTTCTTTTAATCCTTTTTTTTACTTTAGGTATTTAATTGTAAGTTGAAGGGCTTGGACTTTAACCTTAAGGTTCAAGAGTCAAATAAAGCACTCTTGTTATTCACAACAAGTGGCATGAAACAGAAAATGTTTCTCAAAACACCCAATGTTTACTATTCAACGATTAAGTGGCATGCTCCCTGAAACATCAATATTGGGTTTTTTTGTTTGTTTGTTTGACACATCTTAATTTTGGCCCAGTGAGACTGTGGCAGAATTCCAATCTACGGAGCTATAAGATAACAAATATTAGTTCTTTAAACCACTAAGATGGGGTAATTTGTTTTAGCAGCAATAGAGAACTAATATGAGCAACATTTCAGCAGACAAATGAGGGTTCGTGGGGTTGGTGGCATACTTGATGAAAGGAGAAGAATGAGGAAAATGGAGGCAGACAGACACCCAGGGCAAAGAGGGAAGGGCCATGTGTCCAGTATGGACAGTGTGAGTAGCCATCCTGGAAGGCCACATGGTGAAGGTCTTGAATGCCAGGATGAGTACTTTCTATAGTCTATTAAATGGATCATTTTGACTCATTCAAGATTTCAGAGTTGTTGGAGAGTGATAAGACTAAAGGAAAATTTTTAGAATTTTAACTTGGAAATCATGTTTGGGAGGATTTGGGGTAGTGGTGGTGTATGAAGCTGGCTCTAAAAAGACAAATCAAGAAGTTGTTACAGCCCATGATAACTAGTCTTTTACTTAGTGACAACAACAGAATATTCTAAACCACAGCAAGAGTTGAATGGACAGTTTTATTTGCCATGATTCCAATATTCAAAACACTGTCTATATTTAGAGAGAACTCAAAGGCATACACTAAGCCAAAGAGAAAGCTAACAATTACTGAGCACCTAATGCATACATATACTTACATGCATTATATCAGCAATTATTATTACCTTCCTCTTTCCTATGAGGAAGAGTATTGAAGCTTAGATAGTTTAAAGATGCTCAAATCAAGGTCAACTAGTTAGTAAGCACCTGAGCTGGCTTTTGAACTCAGAAAGTCTGATTTCTACTTTTCTTTAATGGAAACCTATACAAAGACCTCCTTTTCCCTCTGAATCCCTAAATTCACTAGAAAACAAATACCTCTGCACAAAAAGGAAAACAGTACTACCAAAGGAAGCAGAAAAGGAAGGGAAGGAGGATAGAAGGGAGGAAGAGGTGAACAATTTCATTATAGACCAATAACCACATTATAGTCACAAAACTTTCTTTAGGCTTAGCATGGAGGTTGTTAGATAAAATGGAGGAGGCATGACTTACCACCTGTAGTGGATGCTATAGTGCACTAATCAGGTCCCCTTTACCAGGCGAGGGCATACACCCACCCTCCACCAGAGAATTGCCCTCAGCTGATAAGAGCCACTTCACCATAGAACTCACCAATGCTTCCCTGCCCCTCCCCATCTCCAGTCGATAAGTAATGACTGAATAATACGGGGCATAATAAAACAGTCCCCTTGTCCTCAACTCTGAAGTGCATTTATTTCAAAGTCCATCCCCTGAGGGGCATGCCAAGGCTAGACTTTGCTCAGCTTTTCATTCAAAATAAAATAAGCTATATGACTAATATGTATGTCCAACTTATATTACAAAGTCAACACCCTATTGTCTTTGCCAACTGAAGACTAGGGTTTGCATTATGATGCTTTGATCACATAATAACAACTCTTGCAGTTTCAAAAGGGTGACATGCTAATCTGTTTGAGAATGATTCATGCTGGACTAACAACAGTGCACTAATACAAAGAAATAAGAGGTCTGAATACTAGGATTCTGGCCCAGGCTCTTGTCACTTATTTTTGGGATCCCAGTGATGTTCAATGGTCTCATAACCCCTCTGAACCTTCCTCTCTTTCTCTGGAGAGGATAGATTATTCTTATCCCTTCTAATTCAACAGGTACATGGGAGAGTGACTGAAGTAATAAATGATCTTTTGCTAAATGAAAAAACTGAGATGTAAAGTATTATAAAAATAGTAATGAAGTCAGAAGTCTCTAATCCCCAGTGCTTTGCTATATGTACTGTATTTAAGGCACACTATTGAAAACACAAGGAATGTTTGCGATATCTGACAGTTTTTACTGGAACAAATTTAAATGTATTTTGTGAGCAATAAGTCAATGTTGAATTAAATGGGTTTATTTTTTTAAAAAAGAAATATAGCGATCTTCAATTTCTATATCAAAAGCAATTTCATTTTTTGTTTTTTCCTAAGTACGTTTGTATAGTATTATGAAGTAAATGAAATCAGGGTTTCCTTAGCTGTAGAAATGGAAATTCTTTTTCTTCTATTACTTGCCTTTTAATAACTCCTAAGAGAAATTACCTGATTTTGAGTAATGCTTTTGTTACTCCTCGACGGCATTTGTTTCAATCATCTTTACCACCTTTTCTATTTCTTTCAGTATTGGCCTCCTTAAGCAATTTATTATGAAGCATTGCATTCCCTTTAGTGCTCCCCTAACATGAATTACAAGCTTTATTTATTTTTCTGAAATTTTCTTCAGGTCCATGTGAGTAATTAAGTGATCATGTCATTCTCACTTTACAAAAATACTATTAAGATTTCCATCTTTGCACAAAATAAATTTGTAGTTCCAGGCTATTTCCTGGCTCCTCTGTGGAATCATTTCATTTAAGGCAACTCAGTTGTTAAAAGGGATGTCTTAATTTCTCAAAGATATTCCAGATTTTATTGTTACTTTCTTATTTACCTGTCATATCTCAGAGCTGGTATTTTTTGGCACAAAATTCCAATAATGGACCATCTTACACATCTCACCTATAATAGAATTCACTGAAAAACTGAAAAAAAAATACACTGCAAGGACAGTAAAAGAATAAGTTCCCCTTGTTTTATGATACAAACTGAAAGAGCCAGAAGTCAGTTATGAATAAGCTCTCAGGTACAAATACATGAACAAATTGAGTTACAAGCAAATGTTAGTTAACACATTATAGTCTTTATAATAAGGTTTTGTCTTGAATGTCATCTAACAAGATAAAATGCAAACACAATGCCGTTTGCATACTTAAAATAGTGCCCACTGGCTTTGGTGTGAGGTACTAATCTCACTCTCAGAATCTCAAACGGAATATAGTGAACACAATGGAAGAATCGAATTTTGCATATGTGCCTTATAAAGCAACTAGGTGAAAGTAGTATCCTGAAAGGCTGACCTAATCTAACCTGACCGGAATGTGGCTGCCCAGCTATGTTCCCCTCTACAAAGCCAGACAGACTATGAAGGGGGCAGGACAAAGTGTTTTAACACTGAATCATCATCTCAGTATGAACCACATTAACAGAGACAGACATGGTTGCAGATAACCAAAAGCTGTGAATAAATCTCATAAACAATAATAACTGTAATGCTACTTTCTCAGGCAGTGAAGCCCAGAGCCTAGAACATGGTTGTGGTGGTTAGTTTTATGTGTTAACTGTGGTGCACAGTCATTTGGTTAAACACCAGTTTAGTTGTTACTGTAAACGTATTTTTTATATGTGATTGATATTTAAATAAGTAGACTTTGAGCAATGGAGGTTAAACTTCTATAACATGGGCGAGCCTCATCCAATCAGTTGCAGGCCGTAAGAGCAAAGACTGTGGTTTCCCTAAAGAAAAGCAATCCTAACTCAAAACTACAACACAGAATCCCTGCCTGAATTTTCAGCTTGCTGCTCTACCCTGCAGATTTCCGACTCGAGACTACAATAGTTCTTCGGCCAATCTGCAATCTACCAGCCTGTGCCATAGATTTTAGACCAGCTAGCTCTCAGAATAGCATCAGCCATTTTTTAAGTATCTCTTTCTCTCTCTCTCTCCCATTCTCTAAACACACACACACACACAGACACACAGACACACAACCTATTAGTTCTGTTAGTCTGCATAACCCTTGACTAACACCATATTAATTACTTATTGATCTCCAGAAGCCTTCAGAGACTGAATATATAAACAATGGCAAAACCATATGTAAAAATAGAACTTTGACTCACAACCTGCAGCAAGAAATCAACATCCTTACTGACAATAAACAACCCAGGAGGTTAACCTGCTATAAACCAGAATGGCAAGAAGTCAGACTGCTATCTCTGACGACAATCCGGGAAGCTAAACAATAACTTGTGCAACAATGGCCAGGAAGTTATTAATGACTGACAGCTGCCCTGACTTTTGTCCCTGCTTCCAACTTAGGACCAACCAGAAAAAGCCAAACATGCAGCACCAGCCAATGACACAGCGTGCCTTACTGCTAGCTAGCCTGTGTCTAGCTTCTCCATGCCAACAGCCTCCAAGCAGGGCAGGCCTGAAGCCTCCCCTACTTTCCCCTATAAAGCTTTTCCACCGATCTCCCTGCCTTTGAGTCACTGCCGAAACACAGGTGATGGAGGCTTACTCTCTTTCTATACAGTAAGCCCAAAATATATAGCCTTTGCTTTTCTCATTTGCATAGGCTTCAATTTATTTCCACAGCCCTAAGGTGCTGAGATGGCAAGAAATCAGATCTGCCAGAAACCATAATGGGATAAAACCTGCCTCAAAATGCTCCTGCCTCTAGAGTCATTATTTATAGATCCTACACATGTAATTCATGTTGTGGACAATACAGAAGAATGTGTAATCTTACATATTCTCCTCCTACTCAGCACTATTATTCATCAGGTTCTGTGATACCCTTTTCACTGAAACAGATACAAGACAGAAAACCTTCAGTACAAAAACAATTTTAAAAATCTAATTACAGTCGGACCCCAGGTTACAGATGACCTGACTTATGATGTTCCATACTTATGAATGGGCTCCCAAGGGTCCTCATATGGATAATTTATAATTAAATAATTAAATTTGGGAACCAATTTCTTCCATGCATGTAAACCATTAAATTAACAGTTCGGGAACTAGTTTCTTTCATGCATGTAAACAAACTGACATGGCGTATTTTGTTCGTTGGGGCAGCATCTTTAGCTAGGGGCTGTTCTCATTGTTTATAGGGTTGCTTACACGTGGCATCACTTTCTTCTTAACTTTTTTATGCTACTTTGTGAGTCTGTGTTTACCCTTATTATCATGCCCCCAAACGAAAGTGCACTGCAAGTCCAGGTGAGCTTGCAGTAAAGAGAAAGGTGATTACTATGCAAACAAAAGTAGAAATAAGCATCCAGAGAAAAGTCAGACCCCATCATTTATTGTAAAAGCATTCGGCTTCAGCTGCTGGACTATCAGAAAAACTATAAAGGATAAAGTAAGAATAATGAAGTGTGAAAGGCTGTGCTCCAATGAAAGCATCAATTATAACTCAGTAGCATAGTATATTAATTATTGAAATGGAAAGGTAATTATTGATTTGGCTAGAATATCAAAATAAGCATAACATTCCTATTAGCCCAATGTTGATCCAACCTTAGGTGAGTGTTAACCTTTAATATATTTTTTGAAATTTCTCCTGTCTCCTATCTAAACTTTTTGCATGAGTTTGCTTTTGTTTTGTTTGTCTGAATTAAAAGAAAGAACTCAATAGATTCTGTAACTTATTATTACAGTATAGAGATATTATTATCACAGTATTACACTATATTATTACCCCATATGAGCCATTATAGTATTATTGTGGTTAGCATTATTACTGTATATATGGTGTTCATCAGGGATCTGAGTTATAGACAAATCTACCTAAAGACATTCTCAAGAACACATCTCATCTGTAACCCAGGGATCATCTGTATTTGACTTATGCCTTATTGATGATAACTCCTGACTATGCATTTAATTATAAAATATTCTATTTTTAAACATGTCTTCCTTCAAACTCAACAAATTTACTATTTCAGACAAAAATACAGAAAGTAATATTTCTCTGTATAAAGGTGGCCTTTCACCTGCCATGTATAGAATTTATAATCAAACTGCAAACACTAAGATTTCGGAATGATGGTTATTTAATTGAATTTATAAAACTTAACATAAGAGGCTGAAAACTCAAAAGCAGTGTTGGGAATTAAAAGGACCCAGGAATACACATTAATGCAGCATAAGATAGGAATGTCACAATGGGATGCATTTGATAATTAGATTTATTTCTTAAAATATATTAAGTACAATACCTTAAATCAGTAGGATTTCAGAGTAGATTTTTCAAGTATTTGATTTTTGGCTTATGATAATTAAGTGTAAACCATTGCCTTCAATGCTCTTTTCAACAATATGCAAAAATCACACATGATTTAAGAATATTCATTTAATAATTTGAATTCTTCATGAAACATCAAAAATTAATTACCATTATATTGGAAACATGATCAAAATAAGTCTTAGACTATGAAAAAAGAACATGATCCCAAAAAAGCAGCACAAGTCTCACCACCTCCAGAGCCAAAAGTGTAGCAAAATCAACAAAAAGATATTAATAGAATTGATGTGTCAATTATAAAATATGTAGAAAACTGTTTCTAACAGGGATGATCCCTGGAAAGTTACAGTTCTGAAAGGTAATGAGATGCCTTAACATTTGGCTTGACAATTTTGTGAAAGCTCATTAATCATCCATTAAATTATTCAGAAGATTTGATCTTCTCAGGAAGCAGCTTGTAAAGGCACTTCTGGAATACTAGTTGCGACTTCCACCCAGAGGGTGCTGTAATAACAAGACACAGGAAAAATACGTTATTAAACCTGTAGGCAGAACCTTTACCTCCCCAAGGTAAGGAAATCTTTTCTGAATATCACCATCCTTTAAATCTTTACTTCAACTGAGTTCCTCGTATGTTTACACACAGTCCATTGCAGGAAGAGAAAACCTTTAGTGTTCACAGTGACACCACTCTTTATAAACACACTGATCCCCACGTCCAAGATGAAACACACACACACACAAAATAATCACACTTACTGCTGCCTTCAGTGCTTGATCTAGATCTTCCAGGAGATCTTTTTCATCCTCTAAGCCCACAGAGAGGCGAATCATTGTGTCACTAATTCCAAGGGCATCTTTGTCCTTCTTAGGCACTGATGCGTGGGTCATGATAGTCCTGGAAGGAGACATGAGCAAATATGTGATCACTATGTTGTGACAGTGGAGGCATATTTCCCCATATATCAACTTTTTCATACCCGTATAATTTTTCACAGGCAAAAAGAGAGAGAGAGAGAGAGAGAGAGAGAGAGAGAGAAAAATCATGAAATTTATCTTTTCTAATCATGATTTTAAGTGAAAACCAAGATTTTTAAAAATCCTGTTTATACCATTGATAAGGTATAGTAGCTCTAGACACGGTAGGTCCCTACCAAGCACGCCCATGTAGGAGGGACAGGGACAGCCTCCAGTGCGTAGGTTTCAACACCTCCCTGAATGAAGCTTTGACCAGAAGTGACATGTCCTGTGACCAACCTGCTGGACAGCTACTTACAAAAGGCCCATTGGACCAAAAGCCTGCCAGAATTAACTTTCTCTGGATCATTGGATCAATCAGGAACTGGCACTTGTCGGGCACATCAGGGAAAGACAAACCAGGAGCCCTACTAGCAACCACTGAGCATCAAGAACTCCAGCATATAACCCATGGCATAGAGCCCTTCAAGAATTTGCCAAACTATTGAATAACTCAAAGCCATTATCAACATGTGTAAGGATAAAGCACTTATTATGTGTCATGCACTGTAGTAAGAATTGGGAAACCAAGAAGAATGAGATATTTTCTTTACCCTGGGCAACAAAGCAACAGCTAGAGACCATGACAATTCACAAAACAAAATGGTCTACAGAGAATGCCAAACAATTATAGACAAAAAGACTGCCAGAGTTCAGGGAAGGGAGAAATCTCTGTGGGCTGAGGCATAACGGAGGAGAGGCTTATAGTCTTACTTACCCCCAATATGTATATCGCAACTAACACTCTTCGCTTCCCTGCACACCACCAGAAAAACCAACAAAACCAACGCCTAAGCTGCTTTCCCATATCTTACTTCAGACCCATGGAAAGAAAATCTCACTTGTGGTCTGAGTAAATGGATATCTTCCTTTATTACTCTAATCAAGTTTCTACACACAAACATCCTCCCTAAAATGTTCTACCCTGGCAGGCTCTTAATTCCTTACAAGAGAGTATACATGTAGAAGTAAGAACTCAGGCTTCAGAGACCAGTACACTGGAGTATGAATTTCAGCCCCCCACATACTGGCTCTGTGCACTCGTAAAAGTTACCACCTATCCTCGGTGCCTATCTCCTGTTCTAAAAAATTAATAGATAGCACCTGCTGGGTGCTTACGATGAGGCAAGTATTCTGCTAGGTGATTTGTGTGCATTAATTCATTTTTTAAAAAAATGGATAAAAATTTGGTATAACACCTATCTTAAAAGTTTGTCACAGGCATTAAAGGAACCTATATAAAGCACTCATGAGTACCTGAATTGTAGTAGATACCAAATAAAAAATAATAATTCATAGTAGTAGTTAATATTTATTGGGTATTTAGTATGAATCAAGCCTTTGACATTTTTTTCCCCACATTCTCACAACAATCCTAAGAGCTACATACAATGTTGTCCACATTTTGCAAGGAACCTATATAAAGCACTTATAAGTGCCTGAATTGTAGTAGATACCAAATAAAAAATAATAATTCATAGTAGTAGTTAATATTTATTGGGTATTTAGTATGAACCAAGGCCTTGACATTTTCCCCCCATGTTCTCACAACAATCCTAAGAGCTAGATACAATGTTGTCCACATTTTGCAACTGAGAAAATTGAGACTTAGAGAAGATAAGTAATTTTACTCAGGTCACAGAGTTAATGTTTTGTTAGGCTGGGAGACTAAGCCAATACATATTGGCTCCACTTTCTCCCTCTCTTATTGCAATGCTGATCTAGTTGCAGCAGAGTTGGGGCCACAGAGTGAAGGCTGATACAACAGACAAGTCCTGACCTAAATCCATTCATCCACCAGCAACAGGGTGATAAACCAAGCTGGAGTGTCTGAGGGCCATGCAACTTTAACCCAAATCCCTAAATAATTGGGAGAGGTCTATTTTTAAGAAGAGAGCCTGAAAGTAATATATATTTCCTTCTGTGAAAAATAAACCAATTTTATATATGGTTAGTCTGCCCTCTTGTGCATCAAGACTTACTAGCAGGCATCTCCTGGAAAGACTAACAAAAAAGCTACCTACGTTACATGAATTACTTCAAGTCATTATTTGGGCATCATATATTTTAACTGTGCAATATTACCTGACTCTCCACCTAAGAATATACTACTATGAGAAAGCAGAAAATATGCCTAAATTTTGGTAATCTCTGACATTCCTCGACACAATGCTGCCAAGACAAATAATTCCATAAATGTTTATGAAAATGAAACCACAGAAACATACCATGTGCATTTAATACAGTTGACATTTATTAGGTAATGATGTTGACTGACCCCTGTCATAATTATAATATATTATCATAGCAGCATACAGTAAAGCCAACATAAAAGCTCAGGAATGTTTGGTGGGACAGGTAATCAATAAATGATCATCATTATTAATCTCATTTTATGAATTAAAAAAATGGTAGCTTCATGGTAAAGTAAGTAATTGGTAGAAACAGGTCTCAAATCCAGATCATGCTCCTTGTACCTCCCCTCACTGTTTTTGATGCAAAGCCAAGAATGAAGTTGCTAATATATTCATGTGTGACATTTGAATAAATCAGCTAAATATTCTGCGTCTTCTTTTCCTTATCTGTAAAATATGCTGTTGGACTATATGATCTTAGGCTGCTTTCTGTTTCAATATCCTCTACTGCTTTGATAACATTATATGAATTGATTGGATCAGACTGTGAAGGGTCTGGAATACCAAGTTGGAGTTTGGACTTACCTTGTAGACAACATGAAGCTACTAAAGGTTTGTCCCACACAGAACAGAGAACAAATGGATCTGAGAATTGCATCAGAGACACATTCTCTATTTCCCAAGGAGCCTTGAAAACAGCCTTTCCAGTACAAAGTCTCCAATCTCTCCTCCAAGGCCAAATGGATAGAACATAGGCCCTGGATCAGAGGTCAGAGATTACAAAGTACAGTTGTTGCTAGAATCTCTCTGATGCAGAACAAAAAAGAAATCAACTTTTGGAAGGACACAGCTTACTGATAAGTAGCCCACCATTAGATTTTATCAGGGTCTCCATCCTCACTGGTTTAGAGTCCATTCTGATTCCTTAGTGCCACGATATTCTTATTGTTAAATATCATGAAATATCCCTGAATTTGCCATACTCCTCTTCTAAACAATCATTAAAGCTAATACCAACTTTGAAATACAGAGAAAAAAATAAATATGCTTACGGAAGCTCAGCAAGACTTTCACATCCTCCCAAGCTGTCAGCCAGAGTAAATAACTATAGCAAAGAAAACATGAATTAAGATCTTCTAGTAAAATAAAAAT